CAAAACCAGCAGAAGATGATTTGCCTACGAAAGTACAAATTGTGTATTGTTAAGTCACAAGGAGTCTTTCAAGTGTCAGTTTTGGAATTTGGGTGGAACAAAGGAAATGAATTATTAAATACAAACAGAATCAACTTTGCAGTTTTATTTAGCAATTTAAACATCTTTCTGATTTCAACGCAGCCCCATACAGGAACGTTTTTTGCCACAAAAACAATGCCAATATTGACAGAGAAGAATAATCCCTTTTTCTTGCACCCTGGCCAAACCCTCAAAAATATACTTATCCCCACTTTGGACATCCTTTCTAATTTATTTGGTTACACCTCAGCACACAAGTATACACAGTCTGCTTTATTTTTCTTTCTTTCTTCTTTAATTTAATTTCTTCCGCCCTCCCTGCAGGCTAACTTACCATATCCCAGGCCCAATATTCCTGCCATATTTTGACAGCCAAGATAACCTTGTCGGAAAGTGTGTGTGTGTGTATGTGAGATGTCTCAGAGCACAAGCACAATTTCTGCAAGCCTGCCAGGAAGATAGAAATTCCTTGGCAGGCATGTTGTTGGCTCCCTTCCAGGTTAGATTTCTATTTGCGGGGCATTGGCTTCCAGTAACAGAGAGAAATCAAAATTTGTAAGCGGAAAAGGAAGGGCTGCCGAAATCTGGTTTTATTTTAAGAAAGAGTTTCCCTTACAAATTAGATTTCTACTTGCAGGGAAAAAGGGGAGGCTTTGTGTATTTGCTACTAAAATCTGGTTTATTTCAAGAGAAGAAAACCTCCTTGGTGATATGTTGGCTCCCTTCCAGATTAGATTTCTACTTGCAGGGAATTGGTACAGACTCCATTCCAGATTAGATTTCTACTTGCAAGGAATTTACGTTTTTTTTTCTCCCTCTCAGATCAGATTTCTACTTGCAGGGAATTGGCAGAGAGAATTCAAAAGTCATAGTCAGAAAAGGAAGGTTCTATACCGAAATCTGGGTTTTTTTCCCCCTCTTTTAGGAAAGCATTAAACTTGTATTGAGGTTTTTGTTGGTCTTGGCAAAAGGACAGTTTGCATTCATAAACTCACAAAGGATTGCAGTTTATGTTATAAACACTTAGACCATTTTTTTAGGCCAGCCAGCTTGCCTTCTGCACGTAAAATTAAAAAATTAAATTGAAAAATGTAAAATGCAGAGATAAAAACCTTCTTGCTCGTTTAGGTTGAATTTCTGCCTTAGATTTGAAAGCCAAAACACCCTGTCTGCTCTTGATAGAAAACGCCTCCAAGCCTTGGAAAATACCAAGTTTTGTATTCCAAGCTTTGTTTACCATCAGTCACACCAATCCATGGTTTATTTATGGTTTGTCAAACAGCAGCAGCTGAGCCAGCCTCTCTTTTATGGTTTATAAGATAGCCAGGCTGCAAAGTTTCAGAACAGAATAACAAGAGTTGGAAGGAACCTTGTAGGTCATCTAGTCCAACCCCTCCTCCCCACAAGCCCAGGCAGGAGACCCTACACCATTTCTGGCAGATGGCAGTGGTCTGTTCAAATAGTAGGTTTGACCTGCTGTCAAACTCAAGCACTCTTCCCTCCCAGAGAGTCATTATTCAGGTAGACTGCCCCTGAAGCTGGAGGTTTTGCACGATTATCGTTACCCCAAGATTAGATCTAAACACAGGAGCTCCAATGTCAGTGTTTCCCAACCTTAGTTAATTGAAGACAGGTGGATTTCAATTCCCAGAATTCCCCAGCCAGTTTTCATGGCCTATTTTTTAAAAACTTTTTTAAAACTCAAGGTATATTACATCTACTGCATCCCCACTATCTATTAAGCAAATTATCCTATTAAAAATATGTGATAATGGTGGCCTAGCCGCATATGTTCTTTATCCATTATTAAACTGGGGCTTAATGTCCGGGCAAACCAGGCCTTATGACTCCAACTTGTTAGGTAAGAGAATCAGTTTGTCATACAGGTGTCAAACTCGCTGCCTCACGTCGCTGTCACGTGACATTTTGCGACGCTTTCCCCTTCGTGGAGATGGGATTGGTGTAGCCCGCGTGGGACACACCCGGCCAGACAGTTTGACACCCCTGCCGTACAAATAAGGGTCCCTAAACCTGTGGGCTTCCAACTCCCAGAATTCCTCAGACAGCCATGCTGCCTAGGGACTTCGGGGAGTTGAAGTCCACCGGGGGGGGGGGCAGGACATTTGGGGTTATGGAGGAGGAAACAAGCCAGCATGGAAAATAAAGCTGTCATGCAGATGTCAGCTGAATCGCTGACCCGTTTGTTTTTTTATCCTTTTGATATCGGGACAGCTTTGGCCGGACCGCCAGTCCAAATTTTATCCGGGTTGCCATCAGTGATAGCTTTCCAAATTTTTTCCTATCGGTTCTGAGAATGTGCTTCAGCTGAGCTAAACAAAAAACAAAAAACAAGGGAATATAGGAGAGGTAGGTGAAGGCAGGTGGGTGGGCCCAGCCAGAGGTGGTATTTGCTGGTTCTCTGAACTACTCAAAATTTCCGCAACCGGTACGTCAGAACCGGTCCAAACCGGCTGAATACCACCTCTGGTTCCCACCCCAGGAAAATACAGCTTGTTCTTCCTTCTGGCTTTCCTTCTCCACATCTGTCCACATCTGGCAGACTGCAGATATTGCTGCGTGGGCTTTGGGGAGGGAGGCCGGGAATCCTCCCCTTGACCCACTGACCCTCGCTCTCCTTTCTGCAAAGCCCCAGCCGGGCTCTGAGTCAGGAGAAACAGAAAGGGGAAAGGAGACAAGAGCTTGCAAAAGAGCTTTAGGGACTAGAAACTTGGCACATCTGCCAAGTTGGAGGGAAAGACGAGGTCAAGACCTAGTCACAAGGCTGGGTGAAGCAGAGTCCCCAGAACTGTGGCAAAGGGTTTCACATGTTATGTGGAAATGGTCTCATGATTTCTTGCATTAGCAGCCAATTCAAATTAAGAAGTGCAGCAGGAAGCAAATTGTGTTTTCTTCACAATTTCTTCACAAGTATCTGCAGGATGTGTGTGAACACCGATAACGTGTTTCTGGTGACCACAGGATGTTTCAAATCTGGGTACCCACTGGAAGATTTGCATCCCACGTTTAACAGCCTTTTTCCCAGCTGGGGATGCCTTTTAAACCATGTGGGTCCCGATTGTGTCATAAGTCGAGGACTAGAGTTCTAGTCCTCGACTTGTGACACAATTGCGACCAACTACTATTGACCTCACCCCTTTCCTAAGAGGTCTGTAGGGGACGTGCATAAGCACACCAACATGTCTACTGTCCCTGTCCTATTGTTTCTTTTATTTTTCTTATATGTATCCATGTATTCATAACTGTGTTTTTACTTACACCTATTATCTTGTAAGCAATTGACAAACCAAATAAAGTAAAATAAAAAATAAATAAAACATTTCCCTTGCTAAGTAAGGCGATAAAGTAAGTCGTGTTCAATTTTACAAAACATTTTTTTTGCCACGGTTGCTAAGCAAATCACTGAAGTTGTTAAGGGAATAAAACGGTCGTTAAGTGAACTTATAAGTGTGAGGACCAAACGTAAGTCGCTTTTTTTTCATCCTAACTTCAAATGGTTGCTAAACAAACCATTGTAGGTCAAGGACCACCTGTACCTTTAAGGAAAGTCTTATTTTTTTAAATAAAACTCAGCTGGGGAACTTGCTAGAATATTAAACCTGAAGGAGAAGCCCCTTTGCAAGGATGTCCCAGCTGGTAAAACTAAAAATATTGCAGCAATAAAAGCAGGCCTTTATATCTGTGGTTTGGGATTTAACACGGTTTGGGGATTCAGCCCATTGTGGTTTATATGGTGTGAACTTCAATGAAGAAAACTGTAGCTTAATGTGATGCTAACTTGACTGTCCTAAGACCACTTGAATGGAGATGGCCGATTGGCAGTGATTCAAGTGTTGTATGATTCTAGGCCATTGAAGCTGGATCGTTCCATAAGCCATGGTTAAACAGGGGCTTAATGGCCAGGCAAACCAGGCTTCTGTCTCTAACTTGTAAAGTAAGAAAGTCAGTTTGCCCTACTACAGCTAGGATCACTAAACTTGGCAACTTTAAGGCGTATGGACTTCAACTCCCAGAATTCCCCATCCAGCCATATAGGGTAACTTTCTTCCTATATGGTGGGAATGCAGTAAGCATAATATATCTTGACTTCAACAAAAAAAAAAAAAAAGAGCTGGCTGGGGAATTCTGGGAGTCTTTAATCTCTACCCCTGTTCTGACCCTGGCTTTCCAAAATTAAGAAACAAACTCCTCATCCCGGTAACACCCATTTTATTTAGGTTAAAGTGAATTCCTCTCCGGCAAAGTCCTGGCAAACAGTTTTTCAAGAGATTTCACAACTACAGACCTTTATCAGGCTTAGAGAGTTGCCAGGCCGATATCTTCCAAACGCCACACTGTAGCAGCAATTACTTGGCAAGGAGTCAGGAACAGATCTTCACCCTAATCAAATGAACTAATTGTCTCCTGCAAACACCACTCCCTTTTCACTCCTCTTTAGTCCCTCTGGGAGGGGCCATTCACCGTCCACCTGTGCCTTTACTCCTGAGTCAAGTTCCTTAACTGTTCCCTTCTCCTGGCAGCTCTGCGCATGTGCACACTGGGAACAGGCTCCAGCTGTTCTTCTTCCCCACTGATCTCCGACTCCATAGGCAGCAGGGAAATGTCGGACAGCCCTGGCTCCATCTCTGCCTCCGACACAGAGCCCTCCTCAGAGCCTTCCCCAGACTCCAGGACTGGCCCATGTTCCTCCCCAACCTCCTCGCTGTCCAAGTCTGCCGCCAGCTCCGCTGACCGCTGGTGGGCCACAACCACCCCGTCTTTCTCATTGCCTCCCCATCTTCCTCTCGGGTGCAAACAGGAAAACGATTAACCGAATTAAAAAAAAAAACTTGGTTCTGTTTTCTAAGCATCGGGGATCGGGGACTGTGCGTCTAAACACCCCTCTTCTTTCTCCTCCACAGACGCCATGCCTGTATCGGATCCGCGGGGAGATGCAGGCCGGTGGGCCAACGTCAGCTACCGGGTACGCCAGCCAAATGCTGCAGAACCGGCGCCCAGGAGGAGGAAACAAAACTGGTTCCACAAATTCTGCCGGTGCTGCGCAGGCCAGCGGGATGAAAGTGACTGGACACCGGCGCCTGGCGAGGTCCCAGGGGCCCGGCGAACAGATCCCGTCATCCGGGGTGAGTCATCAGGGCCTAAGAGACTATCCCAAACCTCCAGAGAGTGATATGGGGGCTGAGAGATGAGCTCAGCTGGGTACTAAATCCCACCCAATTTCAATCAGAATAGAGCTGGAAGGGACCTTGGAGGTCCTCTAGTCCAACCCCCTGCTCAAGCAGGTGACCCTATACCATTTCAGACAAATAGCTGTCCAGTTTCTTCTTAAAAAACCTCCAGTGATGAAGGGCCCAAAACTTCTGGTGGCAAGCTGTTCCACTGGTTAATTGTCCTCACTGTTAAGAAATTTCTCCTTAATTCCAGGTTGCTTCTCTCCTTGATTAGTTTCCATCCCTTGTTTCTTGTCCTGCCCTCAGGTGCTTTGGAGAAAAGCTTGACTCCCTCTTCTTTGGGGCAGCCCCTCAAATACTGGAATTCTGCTATCAGGTCCCTGCTGGACCTTTTCATTAAACTAGACATACCCATTTCCTGCAACTGTTTGTTGCGCTTCCAGATTTTAAAGTTCAGTTTGGAAAAAAAGCACAGTCTTTCTCCCCCCACCCCCCACCAGTTAAATCCAGGAGGAACACCCCATCGCTGTTAATTTTACTGGGGAACAACAAATGGGGTAGAAATCCAGAACCATAAATTAAAATTGTCCTTTTGCTTCTGAGATTTGTTTTTTTCCAGGAGTGTCACCAGTTTGGTGACAATTTGGACCAATGTCTTGCAACCTGGGCCACTTTAAAATGTGTGGACTTCAACTCCCAGAATCCTATGCTGTGCCGGGGGATTCTGGGAGTTGAAGTCCACCCCTCTTAAAGTGCCCAGGTTAAGAATTACAAGTAATCCTCGGCCTTACGAGCTTAACTGAGCCTCAGATTCCTGTCGCTAAGGGAAATATTGGTGAAGTGACTTTTGCCTCATTTTACGACCTTTCTGGCCGCCATTGTTAAGTGAACCCCTCCAGTGATTAACTGGATTAACTCCAGCGACACGATCATTAAGTGAATCTGGCTTACCCATTGACTTTGCTGCTGCGAAGTTTGCAAAAGGGACTCTGGGACACTGCGACCGTCATAAAAGTGAGTCAATTATCAAGCATCTGAACACAAATCACATGACCTTGGGGGGTGCTGAAAAGGTCGTAAGTGTGAAAAATGGACCCAAGTCACAACTTGGTTCAGTGCTGTTGTAACTTTGGACAGTCACTAAATGAAATGCCTGTACGGATTTAAAACTCCAGGATTTAAATCTTCATTATCTTCTCTCTGAATTGATAGCAGATAACAGATGAACAGAGTTGGAAGAGACCTTGTAGGTCATCTAGTCCAACCCCTCTGTCCAAGCAGAAGACCCTACACCATTTCTGACAGAGGGCAGTCCAGTCTCTTCTGGAAAGCCTCCAGGGATGAAGCTCCCACAACATCCAAAGGCAACTTCTGTTCTGTCGGTTGATGATTCTCACTGTCAGAAAATTCCTCCTTACTTCCAGGTTGGATTCCAGTGGGGAGGATCCGAAATGCAGAAATTTTCCGCCGGGGTTTTGTGCATCTCGCAAACCCTTAAAAAAAAAAAAAAAGGCCGAAAATCTACATTTCTGCCATATATTTTTTTTCCTTTCGCGGTCTTTGGAACCGCAACCTGGATGAGGACGCAGAAACGGCCGTGGCCGGAGTTGAGTGACCCTCCTTTCCTTTTTCCTCCCGCAGAGGGCATGCTGGTCATCAAAAAGATTGATTTAATGAGCGGCCGTATGGGCGCCAACCGCCGTGCCCACCACACCGACGAGTATGAGTACGACAACCTCATCATCCGCCGCGGGCAGCCCTTCGACATGAAGCTCCATTTCCAGCAGCCTTACGATTCCGACGACCACCGGGTCTGCCTTGAGTTCCTAATCGGTAAGTGTGGCCGAAGAATGGTTTCTCCGTCAGGTTTCTAGTCAACAGGTGAACAGAGTGGGAAGGGGCCTTGTAAGTCATCTAGTCCAACCCCACCCACCACCCCCACCCAAGCAGGGGACCTTACACCCCTGAGAAGCCTGGGAAGGGCCAACATCAGCGAGGTTGGAGGTTGGCAAAGTTGATGGGGGCCAGGAGAGAGGGTTCAGGGTGGCGTTTGGGCGACGTTAGGGATCTGGTGGGAATTTACCATCATGCACGGCACACGTTATCTGTTTTGGAGATCCTCTTTGAGTCTTGGGAGAGGCCCCGGGCTGATTGCAAACTTGACAATGGCAACCTTTTATTGACTTGATACCTTGGGAAGGGAAAGAGTGTAGTTTCCTTCTTTCCTTCCTCTCTCCCTTTGACTCCTTCCTTCCTTCCCTCCCTCCTTCCTTCTTTCCCTTCTTCTTTCCTTCCTTCCTCTCTCCATCCTTCTTTCCTTCCTTTCTCATTCCTTCTCCCCTTCCCTTCCTTCCTTCCCTCCCTCTCTCCCTTTTGCCTTCCTTCCTTCCTTATTTCCCTTCTCCTCTTTTTTTCCTTTCCTCCCTCCCTGTCCTTCTTTCCTTCTTCCCTTTCTCCTTCCTTCCTTCCTTCCTTCCCTCCCTCCCTTTCTCCTTTCTTCCTTCGCTCCCTCCTTTCCCTTCTTCTCCCCTTTCTTCTTTTCCTCCCTCCTTTTCTCCTTCCTTCCTTCCTTCCTTCCTTCCTTCCTTCCTTCCTTCCTTCCTTCCTTCCTTCCTTCTTTCTTTCTTTCTTTCTTTCTTTCTTTCTTTCTTTCTTTCTTTCTTTCTTTCTTTCTTTCCTTCTTTCCTTCTTACTTTCTTCCTTCCTTCCTTCCTGCCCAGGGAATTCTGGGAGTTGACACCCACATGCCAGAAACACTGCTCTAGAATTTTGACTTTTAAATGCAGCCCCTCCATGCTACATTGTTCCATCAGACCAGTTGAAAAACCTGGAATTCTCCGTTCCCAACCGGGTGATAATAATTTGGGGTTGTTTCTCATCTCAAAAAATGTGGTGGAACTGGAGCCGATCGTAGGGGGTCTATGAATCCTCTATCCCAAAAAACTCTAAAATGACCAAGAAACATGAACGTACTTTCTCTAACCACCACATCAAACAAGCCACACAGATAATGCAAGGTTGTCATAACATGATTTTATCTTTCCTTGTCATTAAGCAATCCATCATCCGGGGGGCAGGCTATTTTGAGCTTCCGATGACCCCCTCCCCCAGCTACGAAATTATAACTGAATTGCTATCCCAATAACTTCTGCCTGTTCTGACCTAGGCCTCCCAAAAGCACGAAGCTGACTCCTCATCCCAATAAAACCCCTTTTATTTAGGTTGAAGTGAATTCCTCTCCGGCAAAGTCCCAGCAAACAGTCTTTCAAGAGATTTCACAACTACAGACCTTTATTATAGGCTTAGATAGTTGCCAGGCTGATATCTTCCAAAGGCCACACTGTAGCAGCAATTACTTGGCAAGGAGTCAGGAACAGATCTTCACCCTAGTTAAATGAATTAATTGTTTCCTGCAAACCCCTTTCGCTCCTCTTTATTCCCTCTGGGAGGGGCCATTCACCATCCGCCTGAGCCTTTACTCCTGAGTCGACCCTTGTTCCTTAACTGTTCCCTTCTCCTGGCAGCTCTGCGCATGCGCACACTGGGAACAGGCTCCAGCTGCTCTTCTGCCCCACTGATCTCTGACTCCGAAGGCAACTGATAACTGTCGGACGGCCCTGGCCCCGTCTCTGCCTCCGACGCAGAGCCTTCTCCAGATTCCAGGACTGGCTCATGTTCCTCCCCAACCTCCTCACTGTCCGAGTCTGCCACCAGCTCCGCTGGCCGCTGGCAGGCCACAACACTTTCGAGGTGCATCTGCAGATTTCTGGGTGCAAACCCCCCCCCCCCCACCCCCCGAAAAAAAAGATTACAGCAGACAAGGGAGCAAACGTTCCCTCCCTTTGCTAAAAACCACACAGAGGCAACCGGCACACTTGCAGGAGTTTGGAAAATGCTTCTGTTTACCGGTTGAACTGGTCCCCGCTTGCAGTGCCATTCATTTTATTATGATGATTATCCCTGACCTCGCTCCGCTGAACCAGGTGAGGAATTTGTCTTCCTGCATCCCTGAAGGGATGGGATGCCTTGCCAAATTTCTCTAGGAGAAGTTTGCAAATAGGGCAGGGCGGCGCACACACCGCCTGCCTGCTTGGCTTCCAGCCCAGCCGCAGCCTTTGCCGTCCTTCCTTTCGGCATCTCTGTTTGCAATTTTTGGTTTGTTTGTTTGTTTGTTTTTGCCCCATCCCCTAGGAGAATTGAGGTAGCAACCTTTGATTATCTCTCAACAAGTTTGTCATTCTGTAGATCTGGGGTTTGGGATCCCGCCTGGTCTCCTTGCTCTTTTTTGGCCAGGACGGTCTCCCCTTCCTTACTGCCACCCCGGAATCCTAAGTTTTCCCCTCCGAGAATGCCCAAGGCAGAATTTGGAAAACCAGAAAGAGGGAGAGTCAAAATGAACCATTTTGGAATGGAGGAGATCGGTTTGCAAGTCCGGGGTTGCATCTCTGGCCTGCTTCTCCCTGCCCCAAAGGGCCCAGAGAGAAAAGACCCCCAACCACAAATATATTCGAAGTAGGCAATTTGGTGTTTCCACTGCTTTGGAACAGCCTGTTAATTGAATACAGATTTCGGTTGTTTCTCAAACTTGGCAATTAGGAGGAGGAGAGGAGGAGGAGGATTGTGGGATCTTTGGCACTCTCTGAGCTTGGTGATTTTCTTGCAGAAGTTTCATGATCCAACTAGATAATATTATCAGTGCTAGGAGGAAATGGGGTTTGTGAGGGGGAGGAGGGAGGAGGAGGAGGAAGAAGAAGAAGAAGATGATGATGACCCTTGGTGCTCTCTGAGCTTGGTGGTTTTCTTGCAGATGTTGTAATATCCAACTAGGTAAAATCACTGAAATCTTTTTCCAAGCCATGGGCTAACATTGAGCCACTGACTGGCAAGGTTTGAAAGACCAAACGAGAAAGCAACGCCTACCTTCACGAGTTCCTTTGGCTAAGACGAATTCATCGGCCTCTCAGGCTCTCTCTGTTCCATCTGATAATATTTATTTATTTTTTAAGCTCCCAGCCAAAGAAAAAGACAATAATCCACGATCATATCAACTTCCTGGCGGTTTGATAGGTGTGGGGAAGTTATGATCTCTTCATGAGGCTTCCAGCCCAGTTATTCGTGCCTTGAATTCGATCCGTCTTCTTCTTGAGATCCAAAAAGAACCAAGGTTAAACAAATCATAGTCACCACACTATAAAAAAAGATGCTGGGCGTCTGGAAAGGGTGCAGAGAAGAGCAACAAAGGGGATTTTCTCCTAAAGTCTACCCAAGCCAAGGAGATTCTTTTGCCACACAGATGCCGCAAAGAATTGCACCAGAGCAGCCAGAACGCCATCCCTGGGTTGAGACTTATCTAGAAATCATCGATGTCAGAAAAAAAAAATCCACTCTAGTTCTGAGACGTTGACTGTTCCATCTAAAATAAGCTAATTAGTGCCTTCTGAAGATAACTGCTCATAAATCGCCAAAAAGACAGCAGGTGGGTTCATCCAGGATGTAAAATCGTGATGCCCAATCCGGAGGAACAATAGTTTGGGTTAACAAAAGGATGAAGGATAGCCGCTTTGGGTCTGAAGGACTGTCTCATAGATGGGGCAGAATTGCTCCAGAAGATTAGGGGACTGTGGGATAAAACATACAGAGAATGGTTGCAGGAACTGGGTATGTCCAGTTTAATGCCAAGGACTAGAGGAGACATGATAGCAATATTGCAATATTTGGGGGGCTGCCGCAAAGAAGACGGAGGTGTCACCCTATTTTCTGAAGGACCTGAAGGAAGGAGAAGAAGCAACGGATGGAAACCGATCAAGAAGAGAAGCAACCTAGAAATAAAAAGAAATGTACTGACAAGGGAGGACAATTAACCGGTGGAACAACTCGCCACCAGAAGTTGTGGATGCTCCATCACTGGCAGTTTTGAAGAGACTGGACAACGATTTGTCTGAAATTACATAGGGTTTCCTGACTAAGCAGGGGGTCAGACTAGAAGACCTCCAAGGTCCCTTCTAACTCTGTTATTCTGCTAAGATGAAGATTTTTTGGCATTCAACCCGGCCATTGATTCTGTGGACTTGGAAGTGCAGGTAATCCTCAACTTACAACCATTCATTTAGTGGCTGTACAAAGTGACAACGGCACTGGAAAAAAAGTGATTTATGAACAGTCCTCGCACTTACGACCGTTGCAACATCTCCTAGCATCATGTCATCAAATTTGAGGCGCTGGGTAACCGGCAAGTATTTCCAAAGGTTGCAGGGTCACGTGATCGCCATTTGCGTCTTTCCCAACAAGCGGTCACTGGAAGAATGATTCGCTTAACGACCCTGTGATTCACTTAACAGCTTGCCGTGATCTGCTTAACAACCATGGGGCAGCAAACTCCGATGTGACTCACTTAAAAATCGTTTTGCTTAGCCATGAAAATTCTGGACCGAACTTGAGCTCAACGGTTCTGCTGTTAAGTGAGACACTTGTTAAGTGGGTTTTGCCCCGTCTTACGACCTTCCTTGCCTCCATTGCAAAGTGAATCACCGTGGTTCTTAAGTTAGTCACCTGGTTGTTAAGTGAATCGGGCTTCCCTGCTTCTGAGAAGGTCGCACAAGGGGAATCACGTGACTCTGGGGGCCCTGTGACCGTCATAAAAATGAGTCAGTGGCCAAACGTGTGAATTTTGATCACGTGCTTTGGGGGCTGGTGCGAAAGTAGTGAAAAACAGTTTTTTTCAGTGCCATTGCAACTTCGAACAGTCGCTAAATTAACTATTATAAGCCGAGGACTCTCTTAACCGGTAAGAACGGTGAGTGCAACCTGTTTGCCTTCCCCTCCACCCTGCCAGG